TTACCGAGATACTGTAATTTATATCTGAATTCGGGTTCGAGCAATGATAATGTCAAAAAGGCTTATATAAGGATAAACTTTCAACTAGTTATTTTGCATGTCTAATATGCATTGCAAAAAGTCTTTAAAGAGCTTCATCAAGAAATCATTAGTAGTCAACAATGTTGACTAGTGATTCTAGTCCGATAAGGTATGAGAACTCGAGAAAAGTGAAAAAAATTTTCAAATCTGACAAAAAAAAAAAAAAACCCATGATAAAAAATAAAAAACAATATTAGATATAGATATAAAGCCAAAGGAAGGAGACATGAGTAAGGAGTTAATGAATGCGCTAAAGGATGCTCTTTCTTGCAATACGTTTCATATTTTCTATCTTTCATCTATGTATTTAAAATTAGAGAAGAAAAAGATTCATTTGGATTTCATTTGTACTTCTTTCCTCATTCTCAATTTTTTTCTAAACGTTTTATTAATATCTCAGCTTTCACGCTCCAATTTTTTTGAAAATAAATTCTAAAAATTGATAACGAATAGTAGAATTTTTCTTATATTCTCTAAATTCTCTACGATCACAATTTCTTAAGTACTCAAACTGTAAACAACCATGAACAGATTATCCTCCCTCCTTCTAGCACACTAGACTATTGCAAGACAACTTGAAGATTCCCTCTTATGCACCAATCCTTTGCTTTGCTTCATCTCATAGTTGAGTGCATTATGTCCTAATCTTTATCATCCTCAAATTAACGCATGCGCACACAGCCAATGAACTCTTTCTTTTGTTCAAAGCTTAAAATTTTTCCAACATAAATGGCAATTGATTCCCTTCATGGGCTAAAGAAAACTAGGGGAATTATATATTTTTTTTTCATTTGAAATCGTCCGGACTCATCCAAATTAAGATAATTGGCACGTCATATGCAAATAATATTTAATGTAGCATTTTAACTTATATTCAAAATAATTAAAGTGTATCTTATATCAATAAATTAAATAAATAGCAATTAAGTTAATATTATTAATTTTTATTGATTAAATGAATTTTTTTAAAAAAAATATATAAAAATTAATTTAACTAACAATAAAATAAAAGATTAACTTGAAAAATAAATAATACGTGAGTTAATTCATTATTTTAGCCAATTATTATCCCCCATTGTCGGAAGAGTTAAGTCGAACAAACACCAGTTTCGCCCAATAGCAAGACCAAAACCCTTCAGATACTTTCATGGCAAGATTCTATTGGTTGAATTATAAAAAAAAAAATAATAAAAGTAAATTGGAAGTTTTATTTGTTGTCTTCTCCTCCCGAATTTCAGCCGGACCCCGAGTGACTATTAAATCCAGCTAATAAATAAGCGAAAACCCCTTTAAAAAACCGCAGTGTCGAACTTACACTCACATTTCAACCCAGTCCTCAAAGTCTGATCAAATCCGGTCTCCTCATAACAGTCTTTTATTTCCATGGCTCCCATTGCAGTTGGCGACTTATTACCGGAGGGCACACTCGCCCTCTTCGACGAACAAGATCAGCTTCAGCAGGTGTCCATTCATTCCCTCGCCACCGGTAAAAAGATCATCCTCTTTGGAGTGCCCGGTGCTTTTACCCCCACTTGCAGGTGCGTAACTGAACTGTATTTCACCCTAATCTTTCGCCCGATGCATCCAGTCATGGGGCTTGGTCATCGTTATGTTGTTCCATAAATTAAAAAAGGTTTTGATCACCACTATCCGGTGTTTTGTTCCCTGAAACCTATGCTTGCGGTACTTCTGATTGGATTTCGGGGTAGATTTTGGTTTTTATGTTTCGTTCATTGTGATGTAGCTTGAAGCACGTCCCTGGTTTCATCGAGAACGCGGAGGAGTTCAAATTGAAGGGAGTGGATGAGATTATATGCATCAGCGGTAAATTCAGCTTTATTCCTCGATTCTAACTATTTAGAGCAGCATGATTATTTCCTGCATCGTGCATTCTAGATCCGTTG